TTTAAAAACCACTATGCCAAGAGAGAGAAACCATAAAACAAAAGTTTTATCTTTTGTCTTATTTGGTTGGGCCATTTTTGAAACAGTCCAGCTTGAATTCAGTATGTAGATCAGACTGGCTAATTCTGGATGCCTATGTAGAACAGGCTGGCTAGCCCTAACTCAGTATATAGACCAAGCTAGACCAGGAGAACTAACCTTGAACTCATGACCCACTTGCCTTAATCTTCCAAGTTCTTGGTTGAAATAATATACCAGGTAAAATTTTTTATATCTTAGGATCATTAGTGATAATGATTTCCCTGATTTTTGATCAAGTTCCATATTTTCTTTGGCTTTTGTTTTTTGAGACAGGGCGTCTCTATGTAGCTCTGGCTGTCCTGGAACTTGCACTGTAGACCAGCCTGGCCTCAAACTTGGAGATTCACCTTCTTCTGCCTCCTGAGTGCTGGGATTAAAGACATGTGCGGCCACCACCTGGCTTAAGTTCCATATTTTCATGTTGTACCAGGCTCTTGTCAAAATTAAGTTCCTATTGCTGTGATGAGCAAAAGCTACTTGGGGAGGAAAGGGTTCATTTGGGCCTGCTCATCCCAAACTCAGCTCATCACACATGAAAGTTGCTAGGGCATGGGCTCAGGCAGGACCTGGAGGCAGGAACTGAAGCAGAGGCCATGGAGGGATGCTGCTTACTGCCTTGCTCTTTGTGGTTCGCTCACCCTGCTTTCTTATACAACCCAGGACTACCAGCCCACTATGGGCTAGGTCCTCCCACATCAATTGTAATCAAGAAAATACCTCACAGATTTGCCTATAGGCCAATCTGATGGGGGCATTTGCTCAGCTGAAGTTTCGTCTTTCCAAACGATTCTGGCTTGTAACAAGTTGGCAAGAAATTAGGACAGCTCTGAAAATTATGTGTCCAGCCCTGACCTCTTGATTTCAAGATATGTTTACTAGAACCAGTAAAGTTAGTTTTAGAGGACACTATCCCAGGATTTACCTTGGTATGAATTTGCTTCTAGACCTTGTCATACTTTTATATTGGGGTCTTCAGTTGAGACTAATATGATACTGTCTACCCTTTGGTAGGACAAAACAAGTCTCCCAAACATAGCTCTAAATAGATGGAAAATGTTAGTAGAACAAAATGGTAAGCATTTGTTGCAGGTCATGATGAATATTAGGGCATAAATTTCTAGCCATTGTTTGGACCCAATGGTACCTATCCCCACTACTCCCATTTAAATCTTGAGCATCACTTGACAATATCAATAAAGGAATGTGTGGTGCATCACTGTAGACATACCCCAGATACGGCCTTCAGAGCTCCAAGAGGAAATGTTCTACCCTTCATGAGATTCCAAGGCTCCAGGAGAATCATGTGTCTTGCTCAGGGTCAACAAGACTCAACCAACAGTCGAATGCATGCTTTCTCTGTAGCCTCAGTAAAGCTCAGATTCCTCAGTGTTCCTGGGCAAGTTAGGTTAGCTTGTCTATTGAAATTCTGAAAGGAGTAAGTTCTATTCCCTTGAATTTCCCAGAGAACAATTCATTCAAAACCCTATCTATTAGCCTTGCACAGCTAGCCAGAGTCCTCCTACCAAAAATGAAATCTGAGTCAAAACAGGCAATAACCTGGGGCCATTTGCAGATTGTCTGCAAACCCTTCTTGGGCTTCCAGAGACATTCAAATGTGTGTTAGACTAAAACCCTTCTCTGCATCCCAGCATCTCCCTTGCTATTCTTGCGAGTTCTATAGACAGCACACAGGTTTCTGAGCCTAAGTTTTCTCCAGATGCCTCACCACAGCCTCTTGTTTGGAGAATACAGCCCTTAGCAACACAGCCTAATTCTCTAGGTAGTTCTGGGCTATTCTAAGTCCCTTCCCAATGCCAAGCCTCTATCTCTACGTATGGCTGGCTCTGTGTGGAGGACAGCACCTTAAGAAGCACATCATCAGGCTGCCCAGGGGCCACAAGTACCTTGATGGAAGGGGCAGATGCTTTTCTGCCAGGATGAACTTGCTCTTGCGCACTACTTCCTGTTAGCCAGGATTCAGGGCAAGTGCTCTCTCATGGGCCAGGCTGCACTGTGTTAGCCCTAGCCAGAAAAACACAAGTCTTTCTTCTTTCCTTTGTTTCAAAAGATAACTGAAAATACACACTTAAATTTTTTACTTTGTGTTTAAAATAATCTTCATGAAAATATTTTAATGAAGCATACAAACACTTCTGAAACAATGATAAGTGGGATTAAGAGCAGGATATGTGACTGTACACACACACACACACACACAAAACTCAGATTTCTTTCTTTTCTTCTCTTTCTTTTTCTTTTTTTGAGACAGGGTTTATCTGTATAGCCCTGGCTGTCCTGGGATTCATTCTGTAGACCAGGCTGGCCTTGAACTCAGAGATCCGCCTGCCTCTGCCTCCCAAGTGCTGGGATTAAGTGTGTCACCACTGCCAGGCTAAGCATGGATTCCTTGAGGTAGTGGAGTTAGAGGTTATTCTGCATTTCTTTAAATGTTTTGCTTTTTTCTAGAAGGAAACATCTGTTTAGATATCTACTACTTTGATAATCTGATGAAAACAGATCATTTGCTACTAGCTGGGACTTCAGAGAGACTGGGAACTGATTTTATGAACCAACCCAAAGGAGAGCAATGACAAACTTCTCATCAAAGTGATTTCTGCGTGGAGCCTTCCTACCAGGTGGTGAATGTTCCACACAGGGTGCAGATTTTTGACTTTGACAAAACTGTTCATCTTGTCATCTCTCACATGGTTATGTGAGATCTGAAGGCATCAGAGCCTTGAATCGAGGTACTGTATATTTTTCTTTCCTGATTACCAGGACTGAAGGCTCCTCAAAGAACTTTGAAATGTAGGTTTTGAGAGCTCACCTGAGTCTGGGTACCAGTTAGCAGAAGAGGTTCGGAAGATGCTGATTTTCTGCATCAAGTTGTGATGGCAAGGGCATTGCCCTTGGGGTTGGATGGCTCTGGAGCCTTGGGATACCCTTCTGCAAGGCAGATGGCCATATTTCTTTCAATAGCGTGTGGGGGGGCTGCATTCCTTTAATCTTAGCACTTGGAGGGCATGAGGACCTCAGCCTGATCGCATAGTTCTAGGCCAGCCAGCGCTACATAGTGAGTCCTGTCTCAAAAAAAAATGCATGTAGGTACCTTGTCCTACACATGCTGAAATATTAATATTAATAAGTGATGGGCCCCAGAGAAGGCAGCACCAGGGAAAGTTTCCTAGGATCTCTTTCCATTCTGTCACCAGTGAAGTTTTCCAAAGTGTTGGGAGGTGCAGACAGAAGTAGAGGGGCTGGCCAGACCTCAGCCCTGCCCTGACTAAGCTGGCCTGACCAAGGACACATCTTGGGTTTCACCATGGAAATGTAGCTACTTGTGGGGTGCGGGGTGGAGGGCAGGCAGTGCTAGCTACTTACTGGCCGGTAGCCAGAATTGTGGGGGTGAATGTGGTTCTAGGACGCCTGTGGATAATGCTGAAGTCAAGCTCCATTACCACTCCAAAATCACTGCATTAGCCATCCAGAGTGCCTCTGCCTCCACCCACAGCTGCTCTGCCCTTTAACTATTCATTGGGGGCAGAAGCCAGTATGCCAGGAAGTCAGAGGAATCAAGTATCCTTTTATGGATTCGCATATCCCATCTTTCAGTCCCATTATTTGTAATACCGGGACCAATGTCACCGGTTCTGTAACTGCACTGCTAGTCCCCTTGATAATAACCCTTTACGTTGTAAGTTACTTCACTCACAACATATAAAGTGTCTCCCCAGGCTGGGTGGTTCCTGGTAGCATGGTGGTTGAGTGCTTGCCTAAAAATGACCTCAAACATGAAGGAAGAGGGAGGCTGGCGCTCAAAGCTCAAAGGGACACCAACGGCAGATCTACACTTCTGAATGGAGCCTGATGGCTGTAGTATTTTCAGCCTCCAGACACATCCACCATCGTGTCCTTTCTGCCCCTCCCCCGCCCCCTTGCTGGAACAGGCCACAGTTAGTTCAGGCAACTTTCGAGGTTGGAAACGAAGAAATGTCCTTTCATCCTACAAGAGAAGCTTGACTATGCTCAAACCCCAGCACACTGCGTTGGAGGAGAGTGGTTTTTGTCACTGTAAGGCACTTGCTTAGGTCACTGTTTCCCACAATTCACAGGAAGTCCTGTGAAAGACCCAGAGTTTTCCTTCTTTACAGACTTTAAATATTTTATACCCAATATATACATTAACCCGATCTCTAAAGTGCACTGTGGAATGTATACCTTTAGCCCAACAGAAGAGCCTCGTGTATAAGACCAAAAGGGCTAGAGACCTACCATGCACAAGGGACTTTTGAGACTGCTGGCAACCTGGAGCAACCAGCAAGACCCAGAGGGGAGAAAGTGGCAGTTTTAGAATCCATTTTGCTGGGGATGTGGAGGACATCCTGGAAAAATCCCCATTTGCTAGCAGGGCAAGCACTTGGGAGAAGGCCAGTTCCCACCGGGATGCATGCTTAAAAGGAAGACATAGGCCAACTTTGGAGCCAGTGATCAAGAGTGGGGCAGGCAGGCAGGTGCACTGACTGCCCTTAGAACCATGGCTTGTGGGACACGCCTGGGCGCTGCCTCTATATTTTGGACCCAGGTTCACCGGTGAGCAGTAGCTGTCGCTGTCAGACCCACTGGGTCGCCCTCTGTCTGTCCAGCCATTTAAAGGTAAAATTTACCATGTATGTAAGGGAAGAGATGACTATGGCCTTTGGAAGGCATCATCTTGAAAGTCACACTTTTTCTCAAGTGCCTCCCTCCCAGGTCTCCTCCCTAAAGCACTCCTAAGAGGGAGTCAGCGCCACGGTGTGCTTCACTGGTGCTCTGGGACCCAGAGGCAATAGATCGGGGCGAGCAGGGGATGTGTGGCCCGCGGGGCCCCTGGAAGCCTGGGAAAGGAGGGGCGGGGGGGGGGACGGCGGGGCGCGGCTCACCTGCCAGGCTGTTGTAACAGTCGATCTCGATAGCTTCTACCGTCTTGCTCTGTTCCTCTGAGAGATGGCTGGGTTTGGAGAACCCGGCCGGGGAAGCTGGCCGTGCGTCCCGCTCCCGCTCCCCTGGGGGCGGCAGCAGCCCCTTCAGCTCCAGCAAAGCTCGGTGGTATTTGCCAATGGCTTCGCGGAATTTCTTGTCCTTGTAGCACTGTGCCCCTTGGCTCTTGAACTCGTGCGCGCGCCGGATGAGCTCCGCTGGCTCGGCCGCCGCCCCAGCCTGGCCCCGCTCTGGGGCTCCTCCGCCACCCGGGACGCACGGTGGCGGCACGGGACGCGGCCCCTCGCCCAGCGCGGGCGGGCTAGGGTTCCCCGAGGCTCGGGCCGCCAAGCCCTTCCTCTCCATCCGGCCGCCGCCCGCGCCTGGAGCGCGCCGCGATCCCGGCTTTAAAAGCGCCGGGCGCTGGCTTCGCGCCCCGCAGACTCCGCGGCGGCCGTGACCCTGGGCGCCGTGCGCTTGCCTCGCACTCCCATCCTAGTCGCCAGCCGCCAGAGACTGCTCCCTCCTCCTGCGATCTCTCCCCTCCTAGTCCCCCCCCAGCCCCCGCCCCCGCGGCGCCCGCCCTCGTCCCCGCCCTTCTTTGCTCCCGCAACCTGCCGCCGCTGGGTACCGGACCCTGTGCGCGCCTGGACGTGGCGCAGGAGACAGTGGGGCCTGACTCGGGTGGTGGTGATTGTCGCTGACCCGGAAGAAGCTGGGCTTTCTCAAAGGAGGGGAGGATTAACGACAGAGAGGGCCCCCTGGTTCTTATTCATCCAGCCTTCCCCGGCGCACCGTGGCGGAAAGAGGCAGTGGGGGAGGGGTGAGTGTGTATGGGGAGGACGGGGGGGGGTCACCCCAATAGCTTTCTTTAGAACTAAAGAGAAAGGAGACGGAAGCAATGAAAAATAGGCAGGAGCAATTGCTTGTTTTGTTTGCAGTAAGACATTACTATTTTAGGTGACAGGGCCTCCCCTTTGTGGATCCAGGTTGTCGCTGAGGTGTGTCTCCTGGGCTCCCAGGACACTGGGTGCACGTCTGCTTGCCGGCCGGGCGTTGTATTCCTGGAGCCTATGTGTGCTTACGCTATGTGCGTGCGCAGCTATGCGGAATGAATCACAGAATGGAAACACCTGTTACTGTTGGTCACCAGGCTTGGCGGGCACAGGGTTCCAGTTTCCATTACTAGACAGTTCCGCGCCCTTCCTGAGGAGGCTCCTCTCCTTCATTCTTTCACTCAATCTTGAGTGTCAGCTGTGTGCTGGAGATTGGCTGAGGCCCATAGGCAGATGAAAACAGGAAAATTACTCCCCGCCCCCTGCACCCCAGAAGTGCCCAGTTTACTGCAGGATGACACACTCCCCATTAGCAGTCACTGGACCAGGCGGTGGTTGGAGAGTGTCACCAAGGAGGAACAAGAAGTGCTGTGGCGCTCTGAGGAGGCCTTATGGGCATATAATATCATTTGAGGACTCTGAAGGATGGGCAGGATTTGGGCATAAGGAGGAAGTAACATTACCAGTCAAGGCTAGAAACGCGCATAGAGCTGTGATGTTTGACATCTCAGGTGTATTAGGGCACAATGATTTGACTTCGTGGCTGTGGGAGTGAGAGATGTCAGGAGGAATTCCAGGGGTTTCCGGATGAAACATTGATTTATAGGCAGTGAAGAAGATAGATTCGTTTTTAGGGTCTTCATATCATTTATGATGCAAAGAGAGAGAAAAGAAGCTCTCAATGATCGTCAAAGTGTGGTTCCCAGGTCTGAAGCATCAGCATCTCCTGGAAAACTGTTTTATGCAAATTCTAAGGTCAGAGTTCAGGCCTTCTACAAGGGAACCTCAGCCTTGGATCCGGTAACCATGCTTCTGAGGCTCCAAGACCATAGACACTGCTCTGAAAACTTCCAACTCAAAAGTTCAGGCCTTGGACCATCAGTATCAGCGTCACTATTGAGCCTGTGGGAAGTGCTGTGGGTGCCAGCCCACCGACCCAAAAGTTGCACTTTAACAAGATTGGCAATGATGTGTTCGGCTACTAGACTGACCTGCTGCTTGGCTCTAGAAGTTTAGGAGAGTACAGAAAACTAGCAACATTATCTCCACCCCCTCCCTGACAACCAGGCTTATAAGGTCACCTCCAGACTCTAGGTAAAGTTTGTATTTCTGTTTAGCAAATATAAGTGGTATGGGACAATGCTTGCAATTTGTTTCCTTTTTTAAAAAAAAGTTTTATGTTTTGTGTGATTGAACATTCTTTCACTGCTACCCCCTTGAAGAGCTGGTGATCGAACCTGGGTCTTCATGCATGCTAACAAGTGCTCTACCACTAAGCTGGGCCCCTATCTATGCCTTGTATTTGTGGCTATATAATAGTTCGCTGTATGTTCAAATTTGAACTTAAGGACAAGACTTTAAGAAGCAGATAACCCATGAGACATTACCTTGAATATGATGTAGAACTCAAGACATGACCTGAGTACTCATAAGAATGAAGGGGAGCACCAGTGAGGAAGGGAGGGAAAACCATGAGGGGAGGGAGTACGGAAGGAGTTACTATGCCCATCTGTCCCACTTGGCAGTGCTGAATGTGGGTGCCTGGAATTATTTTATTTGCTTGTTTTCAGTATGCTTCTGTCTGGCTAAGCCACCCATTTGTAGTGTGTTCTAGCTTCCCAGAAATGCTTGCTTCCCCTCAGATGGAATTAAAGAAGTGCCAACAAGAATCTCTTAAATATTCCTTCATTAATTATTGACCATATGCCGAACATTATTTTAGGAAATGAGCAGACAGTGAATGTAGGAGCTATAAATTCAGAGTTCCTCAGACTTTGATTCATGTTTGAATTGCCTGATGATCTTACAAATGTGCCTCTCTGATTCTGGTCACTTAGGGTGGGGTCAACTTCCATAATTCTAATAAGTTCTCAGGTGTGCTAGCTCTGTTTGTCCATGGTGTACTCTAGAAAGAGCAAGTTCTAGAGGAAGGGGTTGCTTCAGATTTCCCCTTTTTTCTAGCTTTACATTTCCTGGTGGGGAGGATTGTTCAATCTATTGGTCAGATTCCAGGGAACATATTAGTCCACACTTAACAAGAGCAGAGTCATCAGCCCCCACTTAGTTTAGCTCTTTCTTCGACTTCATTTGGATGCTATAGGTAAAGGGAGTCAGGGCCTTCTTGTTGGATCTGGCTATCTTGCTTTCTCCTTCTCAAGTGAATAATGACATATACTTTTTAATACTTGCATTTCTTACCGAGGAGATTTTGGAGCTTTGTTCAAGAGGGAAAGTCCCTTGGAAGCTGTTGGTTCGGGTTGCTGGCCCTAAGAAGAGAATCCTGCATAAACTTGGCATAACTCAGTTGCATGTAAAGAGCTATTTTGATTTCTCCTCCATCAGTGGCCCTCAGGTATACTGCTTTCTCAGGAACTTCACAGAGAAGGATGCCTGAGCCACAGTGGGGCCGAGTCATCATGGACCTTTGGTCCACCAGCATCAGAACTTCACCTGCCATCTGGGCACACCCCTCAGAATCCTATGGGTGGTCACATCACTCATGGCATAACTCATTACTGCTGAGGCAGAGGGAGGGGAAGCATTTGGAAGGAAAGAATGGTGGTAAGCAAGGTGCTCCTGCTCCATACGAGTCAGCCCTGTATCTTCTCTGGGTCTTGACATTGATTCTGACTCTTTCACTGTCCACTGGTCTTCAAAGCCCCCTCTTTTTGCAATCTCACTCAGAGCTTGCCTACCTCCCAAGGAGAAGGCTGGAGCTTTGTGGCTTCTTCCTTCGACTCTGTTTCATTTGTTTGTTTTTAATTTTTATTTTTAAATTTAAATTAGAAACAAGGTTGCTTCTCATGTCAATTCCAGGTCCCTTTCCCTTTCCCTCCCCTCCTCCCACCCCCTCCCCCCAACCCTTCCAATATCCCCTCATTTCCCCAGGGAGGGTGAGGCCCTCCATGGGGGTGTCCATAGTCTGTCATTTCATCCAGGGCAGGGCCTAGACCCTCCCCCAAGAGTCCAGGGGTGAGAGTGCATCTCTCATTGTTGGATGGGCATCCAAAGATCATTTGTATGCCCGGGATAAATACTGATCTACTACCCAAGGCCCAATAGATTATCTAGGCCTCCTCACTGACACCTACGTTCAGGGGGTCTTGATCAGTCCCATGCTGGAATCCCAGCCATCAGTCTGGGATTCAAGAACTAACCCTTGTCAGGTCAGCTGTTTCTGGGGGTTAAACCAGCCCAGTCTTATCCCTTTGCTCATCAGTCCTCCCTCTCTGTCACTGGATTCCTTGAGTTCAGCTCAGTGTTTAGCTGTGGAAGTCTGCCTCTGCTTCCATCAGCCATTGAATGAATGTTCTGTTTCCCAGACTCTCTGGCCATGGGATTGTAGGCTGGCACTCCTCAGATCTATGACTAAAATCCATATATAAGTGAGTACAAGCCATGTTTCTCTTTTTGTAAATGGGTTACCTCACTCAGGATGGTTTCTTCTAGTGCCCATCATTTTCAGCTCTGTTTCTTGAGCAGACATGGACATATATCTGAATCTTGTTTATTCAAATCAAAGCTTTTCAGGGTTTGATCACATGCCAACCAAACCGAAGCTATTTTGAGGATGTTTTGCTAATTGCACTGAACTTCACAATTTACCTGAGAAGCATTATAGTATTTCCATCATCTGTTTTCATCCATATGTAAGAAATAAATCATTATGTTCTGTATTCAGTATGGGGTGCCTTTATAGATCGTCAGGGAACCACAGAGAAGCAGGAGGCACTGGGCCCCTGTCTTCCCTAGTTGGCAGCTGGCACCTGCACTGTCAGCTCATCACAGGGTTTAAAAGTTACGGTCTGCCATGTGACCCAGCCCACACATTAGAGAAGGAAGGACTCTTGAGCCCCAGGATATACGTTAGATAAGGCCTTGCTTCCTGAACCAATAGGATGGAGAATTTGGAGGGGGAACAATGCCTAGACACAAAGCAGACAGTACCTCCATGAGAAGCTTAGCCAGTAAGGAATTCAGGAGACAGAGAAATATGATTAGGGATAGAAAAACAACTTTTAAAACCAAATCTAGAGGCATTTTGCCTTTTGTCCAGGCTGATGCCCAGTGTCTGAAGAACTGAAAACAAATCTGTCTCCCTTTCACTGTGAGTTCCCAGTTGTCTTACTATGAAGAGAGGGTCACTGTTTCTCACAATAGTCTTCAAATATTCTTCTATAGAAAATGTTAAGATTTTAAATTATTTCAGGTCTATATGTAGTTAGCATGTGTCTCATATTTTAACCATGTTACCTTCTCCCCTCCCCACACTGATAATAAATCTCTATAATTTCATACTTCCATCACAAAGCTATATTTTGAAAAACTCTCCCTGCCCTCCCTCCTCTCTCTTACCACACAATCCACTCTCCAGCCTCCCTGTCTCCAGTGTCAATTAGACTTCCCCCTTGGGGGCCATGATACTCATTATTTAGAACTGTTGCAGACTGTCCTTAGGAGACTCTTCCTTCCACTATGCTGTGGGTCTGGGAGAAGTGTCAATCTTTGGTTCCCTCTCACTGCCTGTACCCATCCCATCCTTTATTGATGGCACCTGTTCTTGGTAGCACCAATCATATTACTCATCTTCCTTAATTCAGGGAGGGCACACAGATAGAGATAATTCCCCAAGTCTCAGGTGCTGAGAGGAAGTTCATTTTTTTTTAGATTTATTTATTACATATTCAGTGTTCTGCCTACACGCCAGAAGAGGGCACCAGACTGAATTGTAGATGGTTGTGAGCCACCATGTGGTTGCTGGGAATTG